CGGCTCGACGACGCCCGCGTCGCCCGCGCCCGCCCCCTCACTCTTATCCGCAATTGCGGGGTGCTGCGTATAGTTTGTATTGTTTTATGGGCTGGGGGGGGGGGCCTCGGAAGCCTGCCTGGTACGCGCAGTACCGTCGGGCATCGGCCTCTACAGGCCAGCGGGGTCTCCCCCCCCCAGCCCGCGAGCTCCAGGACCCAGTGAACGTCGTAGGCGATCGAATGAATCAATGCTGCACGGCGCGCGTAACCCATGATCTCGTTTAGTACATATGCGATGTGTCGGGGTGTTGCTCGCACGAGTGCCACACTCTGCTTAGCACGTGCAATCCCCGCACACGCGCAAGGCCGAGTCCTATCCTGTCCTTTTTTGTCGTTGTTTTCCTGCCCCTCCTTTTCGCTGACAGCTAGTGGAACAGGGGATGGTGAGGCGGGTAGGGTGGGCGACGGCTAGGCATGTCGTGCTGGTCTACAAAGGGTATCTGCCAGGGATGCGCGCCCAAGAGGCATCTGCCAGGGTATTTGCCCCCTAGGGTATATACCAAGATATCTGCCAGGGCCGCTCTGCAAGGACAGCGCGAGCGATGCTTCAGAGAACATGGAGGCCGAGTCACGGCTTCCATGCGTTTCGACTGTCGCAAACGTTCATAAGTCCAGAGTAGCGGCACTTCTCGGACACTCTGACTTCCCAAGAGCGGATTGGTCTGGACTGTACTCTGTCTTCTCCTTCCCCTCGTCTGCCCCCCCCCACCTTCCACACACCTCGAGGCCCCGATGGGAGACAGCCCGGGCCGCCCGAGCTTGCGAGACGGTGTCGTCGTCGCCGACGTCGGTCAAAGGCAAATTTGAGATGGCGTCGCCATGCCGACGACGACGAGGAGGAAGAAGACGACGACGACATCGTCCCCAGACGTGCTCGCGCCGCGCAAGAATCACCGCAGAAGGTTTTTGTCTTTTCTCAGCCCAGGGTCGTCAGCGGGCCCCGGGACCGTGAACAATCCGCCCGAGAGGAAAAGAAGACGGCCCCGGCGCCTGGGCCGAGACTTCCACGGGGTCATCGTCGACGACGACGAAGGCCCTCCCGATGGCGCGACCCAGGCCCCCGGCGTCGTGTGTCTTCGATCTCTTCGCAGCGCGGACCTCCCGGAGGTCTCGACCCCTTCCCGGGGGGCCGGCTCTCCCGAGCAGGTCCCTGACGGTCCTGGGGTTCCGCAGGGGCCGTGGAGGCCGAGCACGGACCGAAAAGCCGAATCGCACGCGTCCGCACGCGTCGGCGAGGGAGACGACGACGAGGACCGCCGTGGGCCGATGGGGAGGGGCAGGTGCCCGAGGTGCACCACCAGAAGATCCTGAACCACGTCCCCCGGGTCACCGTGACCGAAGTCCCCGAGGTCGTGGAGGTGCCGGTCGTGCATACGAAGGACGACGGGGCGGGCCCAGGGTCTTCTTGGAGGACGATTTGTTTTTGTCTTGCGAGAGAGCAAAGTCATCCCAGTAGAACAGCAACGCTCAAGCACAGAATGCTGAAGACTACAGGTAGGCCTTCGGAGACGCCCTGAGGCCTCTGACGACCTCCAGTGGACGCCTGGGCTGCCGTCGTCGGGCCCCGCCCCCTGCCCCTTGGTCGCGAAATCTTTGATCGTTATGATCGTTCGCCCTTCCCCCGGGGGCCCCCTGGCCTCCTCCCTTCTGGCCCGCGGAGCCCACCCGCGGAATCCACCCATGGCCCCCCAGGGCCTCACCCCCCCCCCCCGGTCGTGGAACCTTTTTATTTTCGTGATCGTTCGTCCTCCCCACTGGACCTCCGTGGCCTCCTCCCTGGATGGGGGGCCGCGGAGTCCACCCCTGGCCCCCCTGTGCCCCGCCCCTGCCCCTGGGCAGCGGAACCCGTTAGTCTCTTGCGCAGTTGTGTTCTAGAGCTCCGACCTCTTCATTTCGACTGTCGCTCGTCCTCCCCCTTGGGCCCCCCTGGCCTCCTCCCGTTTTGTCTGCGGAGCCCATCCCTGGGCCCCGCCCCTGTGCGGCGGACCTTTTATTGTTCTGGCTTATTCGTCCTCTGCCCTGGGCTTCCCTGGCCTCGTCCGTGCTGGGCCGCTGGGCCGCGGAGCCCGCCCTTGGCTGGGCCGGCCCCGCACTTGGGCCGCGGAAACTGGGTCTCCCTGGTCTCCCTGGTCTCCCTCGCCGGAACCGGGGTCTCCCTGGTCTCGTCCTGGCTGGGCCGCTTCCTTGTCTGGGCCGCGGAGCCCATGGGTTCCCCCTCCCACCTTGGGGCCGCGGCACCCGTGATGCTTGTGCAGAGCTTTGCTCTAGAGTTCGGAGCCCTCGATTTCCGTCGTCGTTCGTTCGTTTGTCCCTCGGCCCACCCCAGACCCAGACATCCGGCTGCTCCAATTTTCGGGCGCGTGGACCCCACAGGTCCCGACCGCTTCCCCGGGACCCGTTTCCCGCCCAGAGTCGTTTTTTGACGCTTCTGAGGCCCAGCGAGGGCCCCCCGGAGGCCGAAAACTGCCAGAATCCCGCCGCTCCAATTTTTTGGGGAGCGTGGGCCCTCAGGGGAGGCCCCCTGCCCCTGCCCCCTCCTCTCTCCTGGCGGTCCTGCTGGCCCCCAGGAGCGCACCGGGGACGCATGGCCCCAGGAGCCCCCCGTCCCTCGCCCCGCCTCGTCTGGGCCTCGCCCTCCCTCGGGCGAGGGCCAGGGCCTTTCGTGCCACCGAGTTTCCCTTTTGATGCTCGGCATTCTGCCATGGCATTCGGTTGGGCCTGCCCCTCTACAGGAGGAGTATACAAAAAGAGTCGAACAATAGTCTGGGGACGACGTTTTTGATTGTTTTTCTTAATTTTGAAGATTTTGTCTCTATGTTTTATTTGTCGTCCAACATTACCCTGTAGGGGGACATGCCCGTAGGGGGACATGCCCGACCTAACCATAGCATTTTTTTTTTTTTTAAGCTAGCCTGCGTAACAACCAAAAAAACCCTTCGCCGGGATTTCCCCGCGACGCGGGAAGGCCTGCAGGGCAGGAGAAGGTGCCAGGCGTGCGAGAGGCTGTCCCGGCGCGCCCGCGCGCGCCCGCGCCCGGGGCCAGGAGGTGGTCGACGTCAAGGTAGAGAAGCAGGAGGCGGACTGCCTCTGCGCCCCCCCCTCCTCCCCGCGCGTGCCCCTTGCATTCCTGCTCGGGGGCGGCGCAGAGGGGGGCGATGACTACAGTCAGACCGCATAGTAAGGATGGGCAACCTTCCTTAAGGGTACCCGTACATGCTTGCCTCCTCGGTCCATCCTTGGCCACTTTCGTTGGCCGCGCCCCGCTCGCAAGGCTTCGAAAGGGGCTTGCAAGGCCCTTGCATCCTTATCGCGCATCCTTACCATACTGGTTGACTGTAGTGGGGGGATATCATGGCATGGGCCATGATATCTCTCCAGACTTCCTGGCGCCTCTTCTCGTTTCATCACGTCCCTGGCCCCCCCCCCCCTGGAGCCGCGCACATGCCGCCGGCCGTGAGTTGCGCCCCCCCTCTTGGACGCCCCCCTCTCGGCCGCGCCCCCGATGCTGTCGGGGTCGCCCCTTTCCCTTCCGGCGTGGCCGCCTCGGTCCCTGGACCCGTGGAGGTCAGCGGATCGGTCTCGCACCTCTCCCAGGAGCCGGCGTGTTTTCGGGGGGGATCTGCACAGGCATATTGCTGCCGGTGCTGTGGAAGGTCTGCGGCCGTTGGCGGGCGCCAGCCGGGGCCTGCCTGCGAGACCCCCTCCCGGAGGGGCCTGGAGAAGTCGGGCGCGAGTTCGCAGGACGGCGTTTCCCTCCCATGCAGGGCCTTCGAGTGCCTCAGGCGTGCTCAGGGATTACCGAACGCGTTCCACTACTCGCGAAGCGCCTTCTCCCAGACGTCCGAGAAAAGCACGCGTCTGCTCTTATGTAATGCATCGTAGATCCTCCGCGGGGGATCCAGGCCATTTGCTTCGGATGCAACTCCTGGGAGGTCAAATTCTGATTTTGCCCTGGTCCGAAATCCGGTTTAATTCCGCTGAATCCCGCCTGATCCGGCCTAGTTTCGTTTAATCCTGTTTAATCCGGCTTAATCCGAGGCCCACTCCGGCGTAACAGCCCCGCAATGGGGCTTAATCCTTTTTAGTCCTTCCGACGAAAACCTCCCAGTAGTTGCCTCCGACATTTGCGAGCAGTCACTTTGCGAGTAGTGGAACGCGCTCGTCGAAGTCTAAGGGAGGCGAGGATCGCAGCGTCTGCTGCACAGGGGGAGCGCTTTCGGGAGCGCGGCCCTCTGCGGCGTGAGCTCGCACCGAGCCCGTAGCCCCCCTCCCTGGGGCAACCCAGCCTGGCACCCAACCCGTCCCTGGTGTGGAGTCGGGCCCGTCCCTCGACAGGAGGAATCTACAAACGTAGTCGAAAACAGTCTGGGGACTATTTTTGTTTGGATCATGCTTTTCGATTCTTTGGGGGTATGTTTCGGGTCTGTGTTTTCGTTTTTCGCTCCAGATCCGCCTGCAGGGGGACACGCCCGACCTAAGCCGGGTGGGGCCTTCACCCCACCCGCCTTGCGATGGGGGTCGCCAGGGCCAGGGGGGCGTCCGCACCCCTTGCTGGGTATAGCGGACGCGAGGGCGCCGGCTCGGGGTCGACCCCTTGTTTCTTGTCCCTCTCCTCCTCCCCCCTCCTCTGCACGACGCTGCTTGCTACAACGCTCCCAAAGCGTTCCCCCTCCCATCCTGCTCCCCGCCCCGACCCTGCTCCCCCTGCCCCCCCCCTCCTCCCGCCCCATCATCCACCTCCTTCCTGCTTCCTCTTGCTCTTGCGTCTCTCATCCTCCTTATGTGGCCTTGTCAGCGCAGCCTCCTCTCCCCCCCCCTCCTGCCTCGGGTTCTTGGTGTTTGGGGGGGGGGCCTCGGGGATCCTTTGCCCGAGCGCCGAGCGGCGGTGTGCCCCCCCCCCCCCCCCCCAGCGAGGTCCTCAGGCAGGTCCCGCGGACCACCATCCGCGAGGTGGTGCAGATGGTGAGGAAGCCGGTCACCAAGGCCGGCCGTCCTCCCGTGGCGTCGTGGGACAGTCACGGCGGGAGAGTTCTCGCTGGCTGTCGGGGGCCCTCGCCGAGACTTTGGACCGTCAAGGGACGACTCAGGATGGAAGGGGTCTTGACCTCTTGTGGGTCCACATGATTCAATCATGACGTCGGCCGTCCTCCTCCTCCTCCTCCTCCTCCTCCTCCTCCTCCGCCTCGGTCGGTCGGTCGAAGGGCGCAACGGTCGAAGCCTGTGCACGGGACTTGGGCGAGGCAAAGCAGGAAGCAGACCGTGGCGCCTAGGACACTCCCAAAACTCCAGAGCCACGAAGAAGGGCAAACCCAAAGCCCAAGCAACTCCCCGAGATAGGGGGGACGCAGAGGGGGAAGAAAGAAGACAAGGAGAAGAGGGCCCGGAGAGGGAGCGTTGGCAACGGGGTACCCAAAGCAACAGGAGCCCACAAGGGCCTCCCCGGGACACGAGGCCCACAAGGGCTAGGCCGAGTACCCCAAAAAAGAGAGAGTGCAAACCGAGCCCAGCCAGCAGACCACGCACCAGGCCTCAGGCAGCGTCCAATGGGCTCCTGTGGCAGGAAAGGATATGTGCTCTACAGTAGAAGGGCTCTCGTAACAGATCAATCCACTCTCGTACCTTGACATCTGCTTTCGCCCATTCTTTGGGCAGCTCGCATCCAGCCTGACGAGTCTTCCAAAGCGGGCATGGTGATGGTTGACGATGAAGTCTGCGTGCGCACCCGTCCAATGGCAAGAGCGGCGATGGCCTCGGCCACCAGGACCTTGAACCGCTGAAGCGTTGCAAGAAAACATTCCGCTGCAGCACTATTCATGTCATGCGAAGCCGGGAGCGCCACCATTTCGGACAAAGTTGCAGCCCTATTCTTTGCAGCTTGGACGCACTGTGCCGCGTTGACATTGTGGCGCTGGTGCTACCGATGAGGAATCGAGCTAGATGCAAAATTCTTTGCAACCATCTGCATGCACCCTTGATCACAAGTGACTGCCATGTGGGTGTTCTGTGTGATGCCTGCTATGGCGACCATGAGTAGAGAACGAGAGAGCTTCGATCGAGGTACTGCCGCGGGACTGGTATATATTGATGTTTGCTTTGGCTTGCCCTTGGTCGGCGGCGCACCCGACCGTGATGTACGGAAGTGACATTTCACGACGAAATCTCGCGCCCAAGCAAGACGAGAAGAAACAACCATTGTGAGCAAACATGTTGCTGCTGCAGGCGTTGATTTCAGCGCAGGTGTGCCGTGAAAACCTTGCAACCAATCACGTGCCTGAGCCACGGCTCTCCTCCGCCTCCTCACCGCGCGTCGTGTCAAAACGGAAGGAGGTTCCAGGCTCGGGGATCGAGCCAGGACCCATTCGGGCCTCCAGACGGGGCTCTTCGTGGCCACGGCTGGCTCCGGCTTAGGATTCTGGCCAGGAGGCTTCCCAGAACAGGTCCGGGGATCAATCTTCGACCTCCCGGCCTCGACCCCGACATGTTTGCGTGGTGGAACATTTCAAGTGGTATGTGCGCTGCGAGGGCCGGGATGGCTCGTGCCCGACTGAGCAAGGCTGGCGGCTCCCGTCTTTTGTCTTGGGCCAGATTCATCTCGTCTTGCCCGATCCGTCGCCGCGAGGATTACTCCGCTGTCGGCTTGCGATGTGTTGGGTCGTTTGCCACGCACGGGAGGGTAGCTGCATCTCGCCGTCCGAGGCCGTAAGTGTTCCTGGGGCACCAGAGATCCCTAAGTGTTTTTTTTGGGGGGGGGAACAAAAACAAAGAAAACATCAAGTGATATGTGCGTTGTTCTGACGATTCCTGGCCTTCGACAGCCCTCTCTGGGCCTAAGGGTCCTAAAAGCACCGCTCGGGCAGACCTCTGGGGAGCCGCGCTGTGAAAACACCACGACGTCGGACATCGGGGTTTCGCTCGCTCGGCTGGGGGTGGCGCAGGTTGCGCGCTCCGTTGTGGCCTTGCTCGGCCCCCTGACGGGCGTCACATTCCTGGCCCCGGTGTCGTCAATAATCGACGCAGGAGTAAGAGCGGGCCCCGCGGCTTCGGTCCAGTTCTCCAGGGGCTCATGACGAAGTCGGGGGTCTGCAGGTGGGGAGGAGGAGGAAGAGAAGGAGGAGGATGAGGAGTTGCAGCAGCAGGAGCCCGGACTATGAGGGGGAAGAGGACCGGGAGCGGGACATGGATTTCATAATAGTGCTGGTATTTACAAAGTGTTGATGCCGAGCAGCTTTTTCGCCAGGCGAGTTGAGATCATTCCAGTTTCTCTGCCAACGTATGTTGTATGATGTTAAGTTCGCTGACAGAGAAAATACGAGCGGCCTCAAGACCTCGGGACACTTTCTCACAAGTGCAGGCGAGGCCCGCGGCGAAACGCAAGGAGGGCGAAGGAGAAGGGGAGACGATGACACCGACGGCAGCCCAAGCCTTGGGCCGCGCCACATTCGCCTAGTCCGGCGGCCCTGGCCGCGCCTCCAGCCGCCTGCGCAGCGCCGCGCGCCAGCCTGCCTCGCTGCCCCCCGCCCGCACCGCGGGCACCAGAAGGAGCGCCACCGCATGTGGCGGCAGCGTGCTGGCCTACCCTGGGCAGGGCCGAGCCGCCAGCGCCTGCCAGTGCGGGGCCGCGCTGCCGCAGCAGAGGCACGCGACCCATCCGGGGCCCCTCGACGCCGCGTGCGGCGCCCACGCGCCGCCCACGAAGAGGGCGCGGGCGGCTTCGGCGGCACCGCGCTGAGGCAAACCCTGGCCGACCGCCCACGGTCGCCGGGCACGCCGTTGCTGCTGCAGTTGCGGGTTCGCCGCCGGCGCCGGCTGCTGCTGCTGCTGCTGCTGCTGCTGCTGCTGCTGCTGCTGCTGCTGCTGCTGCGGCTGCTGCTGCTGCTGCTGCTTCGCCCGCTGCGTGTTGGGCCGCGCAGCCCGCGCCATCCATGGGCCGCCCGTCCAGCGCCTGCGCACCCTGGGCCCAGCCGGCCCGGCGCCCTCGTGGTGGGCGCGCAGCGCGGCCGACTCCACGGCGGCGCGTGCAGCTGCACCTGCCGCCCGACGCGGGGGTCGCGCTCGGGCAAACCGGCGCGCGCGGCGGCGCCCGCCAGCCGGTCGGCGGTCTCGTTGCCGGTGTGGTTCTCTGGCGCGATCCCGCGGCCCGCCGCCGCGGCTGCGTCGAGCCCCTTGACCCAGCGCGCCTCAGTGAAGCCGCTTACACAGTGCGGCCTCGGCATTTCCCGCAAGTCCGCGTGCGTCCACTCGGTGGGAGAGGCGCCGCCGCGGGAGGCCGCGACCCCGTGGCACACGTAACGTGAATCAGAGACCAGCTCCAGGGGGGCTCCGACCGCACTGACCGCGTGCACCGCCGCAGGAAGTTCGGCCCGTTGCGCGGTCTGGAGCCCGCCCGCGGGCCCGTTGCGGCGCCGCGGTCAAGACCTCTCGACACGCCCAGCCGCGGCAGTTGGCTATCCAGTGGGACCCGTCGGATGACATTTTCAGGCGGATGGCGGGTGCAATCGCTCTGAGGCCTTTGGCCCCCCCTGGAAGACGAGCCGTGCTGTGTGAGCTTCGTGTCGGGGCCACGCAGCGGGCGCTGTGTTGACGTGCTGGGCTCGGCTCGGGCTTCTTGAGCATTGGTCCTCGGCTGGGCCCTGGTCGGCCCCGCTGTCTGGGGCGTCCTCCTGGTTGGCGGGCGTGTCTTTGGGGGACGGGTGCTTTCCTGTTCTCACGCTCGTCTCTCGTCCCGACCTGCGCACCCCCACTGTGGCTTCCTGTTCTCACGCTCGTCTGTCGTCCTCCCCTGCGTCTCCCCTCTTGGGTGGGTGGGTTTGCTTGGGACCTGTCCTGCGTCGGGGTTCTGTGGTTCCCCGTCGCTTCTGCATGCGAATTTCTTCCTGTTTCGGGAACGGGCGGCCTTTTGTCTCAGACGTTCTCAGGTAGCCAGCGAGCGAGCGAGCGAGCGAGGAAAACAGGGAGCGGGACGAGGGGATGCGGGGGTTGAGGCGAAGGAGGAAGGCTGCGGGGGAAATTGTAAGTAATGGAGGGGGGCCTTGCGCCGCAGAGGTCGAGGAGATCATTGTCGAAGTTCCCGTTGGGCTGCAGTGCGAGCTCTACGAGCAGGCTGGGCGCGTGATCAGCAGGCGGGAGTACTCGGTTGGCGCTGAGGAGGCTCGAGTTGTCTATCTCTCATGTTTGTGAGTTCCTTGTCTCTCTCTCTCTCTCTCTCGCTGCCTTCGTGTACATATACGCATCCCTCCCTCCCTCCAGCAAGTCTTTATCCCTCTCTCTCTCACTCTGTCTCTCTCTCTCTCTCTCTCTATCTATATATACACATATATGTATACGAGTGTGTGTACAGACATATGCCTGCATCTATGTATGTATGCAGGTATATGCGTGTATGCACGTATTTCCATATGCATTGACGTATGTATGTATGTATGCATGTATGTATGTATGAATGAATGAATGTATGTATGTATATATGTATATATGCATGCATGCATGCATGCATGTATGCATGCATGTACGTACGTACGTACGTACGTACGTACGTACGTACGTACGTATGTAGCGATCTATGTATGTATGTACGTATGTATGCGTACATGCATGCATACATGCATGCATGTATGTGTATGTATGTATGTATGTATGTATGTATGTATGTATGTATGTATGTATGTGTGTATGTATGTGTGCATGCATGCATGCATGCATGCATGCATGCATGCATGCATGCATGTATGTATGTATGTATCTATGTATGTATGTATGTATGTATGTATGTATGTATGTACGTATGTATGTATGTATGTATGTATGTACGTATGTAGGCATGCATACATGAAGGTATGCATGTTTGTATGTTTGTAGGTCTGTGTAGGTATGCATGTGGGTATGTATGTATGTGTTTGTATGCTTGCATGTATGCATGCGTGCATGTATGGATGCATGTAATTATGTATGTTGCTATGCTGCGTGCACATATGTATGTATATGTGTATGCATGTATGTATGTATGCATGCATGCATGCATGCATGTATGTATGTAGGTATGTATGTATGTAGGTATGTATGTATGTATGTGTGTACATATGTGTGTATGTATGCATGCATGTGTGTATGTACCTATGCATGCCAGTATGTATGTATGCGTGCGAGTATGCTTGTATGCATGCATGTATGTATGTCGATTTGCATGCATGCATGTATACATGTATGTACCTATTCGACCACCCTTCGGGTGATAAGTAGGATTTGGGGGGAGGGGGGGAACCAACATCTGACTCAATCGATCTAATTATCGATCTCACTCAACGGGACACCACGGGACACTTGCCGATCTCACTATCGACCCCGCTCAACGCAATGGGACACCACGGGACACCACGGGACACCTGTCGATCTCACTGTCGATCTCACTAGCGATCTCACTTTTTGGGACAGCACAGGACTCCACAGGACACTTGTCGATCTCACTATCGACTTCACTCAACGCAACGGGACATCACGGTACACCACGGGACACCTGTCGATCTCACTATCGATCTCACTATCGATCTCACTTCTTGGGACACCATGGGACACCTTGGGGCAACGCATCGATTTCAGTATCGATCTCACTATCGATCTCACTATCGATCTCATTATCGATCTCACTATCGATGTCACTATCGATCTCATTCAACGGGACACCACGAGACACCGCGGGACATCGCCGGACGGACGGACGGACGGGCGGGCGGGGGAGAATCATTTGTCTTGACTTCGCCCTAGCACCGGCGGACAACACGGGACACCACGGGACACAGCGGGACACTGGCGGGACACCGCGGGCCACCGGCCGCCGGAAGAAAAATTTGGTCCGGACGCGGCCCATGGACAGAAGGATTTCGGGACACCAGCGGGACACCGGCGGGACACCGCGGGCCACCGGCCGCCGGAGGAGAAACATTTGGTCCAGCCGCGGCCCAGCCACAGGAGGATTTCCTCTCGCCCGGCCACGCAGCTTCGCCTTGCCCGCACGCACGCACGCACGGTACGCACGACACGAACCCGAAACCGAAGTCGATTTACCGGTAGGAAGGGGCCTCCGTTTCACGTCGGACTCACCCCCCAACCTCCGATGCACGCATGTGCGCATGTATGCATGTATGCATGTATGCCTGACTATATGTATGCATGCACGCATGCATGCCATGCATGTATGTATGCATGCATTCATGTATGCATGTGTGTATGCATGCATGTATGTATGTATGGATGGCTACATGCATGCATTTGTACATACATGCATGCATGTAGGTATTCATGTAGGTATGCATGTATGTATGTCTGCCTGTGTGTATGTACGTGTGTATGTGTATGTCTGTAGGTACGTTTGTGTGTATGCATAAGTGCATGTATGCATGCATGCATGTCGGTCTGCCTGCCTGCATGTATGTCTAGCTGTGTGTTTGTGTCTATGTATGTATGTATGTAGGTAGGTAGGTAGGTAGGTAGGTAGGTAGGTAGGTAGGTACGTACGTACGTACGTACGTATGTATATATTTACCTATACGACCACCCTGCGGGTGATAATTAAGGAGGTTGGGGAGGGGGGGGCAGCAATGGGCAAAAGTGGTGATTCTTGTTCTGACGATGCCTGTGGGGCGGAGTCTACTGAGTAGTGTCATTGTGCACGTGAGCGTGATGTGATGTGGCGATGTTGGCGAAGCGCCAAGGCAGGACCGCGATTGGTATGCCATTTTTGCTTGGGCAACTGGCTGCGGTCCGACAGCGACAACGGCGGTACAGCATACAGCACGGCATGACGATGTGCCTTTCGATTTGTATTTGGATTTGCATATCGATGTGCATTCCGATTTGCATGTCGACGTGCATTGGAAAGCTCGCCGCGGCGCCAACGGCGCCTTGCGACTTGCATTTGAAAACGTTGGATGTGCAAATCGATTTGCATTTCGATGCGCTTTTCGGTACGCATGTCGGTTCGCATGCAGACTTTCATTGGATAGCTCGCCGCAAACGGCGATGTTTTGAAATGCGCAACCCACGGCGGGACACCGGCGGGACACCAGCGGGACAACGCGGGCCACCGTTTGACGGGAGGAGCATCATGCGGTCCAGCCGCGGCCAAGCCACAGGAGGGTTTCGGGACACCAGCGGGACACCGGCGGGACGCCGCGCGCCACCGGCCGCCGGAGGAGAATCATTTGGTCCCGCTGCGGCCCAGCCACAGGAGGATTTCGGGGCACCAGCGGGACACTGGCTGGACACCGCGGGCCACCGGCCGCCAGAGGAGAAACATTTGGTCCAGCCGCGGCCCGGCCAGAGGAGGAGTTCGGGAGACCAGCGGGACACCGGCGGGACACCGCGGGCCAACGGCCGCCGGAGGAGAAACATTTGGTCCGGCCGCGGCCCAGCCACAGAGGGATTTCTTTTTGCCCGCCCACGCAGCTTCGCCTCACGCGCGACGTGAACTCGAAGCCGAAATCGATTTCCCGGTAGGGGGGGTCTCCGTTTCACGTCGGACTCACCCCCCTACCGGGAAATCGATTTTGGTTTCGGGTTCGTGTCGTGCGTGCCGTGCGTGCGTGCGGGCGAGGCGAAATTGCGTGGGCGGGCGAGAGGACATCCCCTTGTGGCTGGGCCGCGGCTGGACCAAATGTTTCTCCTCCGGCGGCCGTTGGCCCGCGGTGTCCCGCCGGTGTCCCTCTAGTGTCCCGAAATCCTCCTCTGGCCGGGCCGCGGCTGGACCAAATGTTTCTCCTCCGGCGGCCGGTGGCCCGCGGTGTCCAGCCAATGTCCCGCTGGTGCCCCGAAATCCTCTTGTGGCTGGGCCGCAGCGGGACCAAATGATTCTCCTCCGGCGGCCGGTGGCGCGCGGCGTCCCGCCGGTGTCCCGCTGGTGTCCCGAAATCCTCCTGTGGCTTGGCCGCGGCTGGACCGCATGATGCTCCTCCCGTCAAGCGGTGGCTCGCGTTGTCCTTCTGGTGTCCCGCCAGTGTCCCGCCGTGGGTCGCGCATTTCAAAGCATCGCTGTTTGCGGCGAGCTATCCAATGCAAGTCTGCATGCGAACCGACATGCGTACCGAAAAAGCACATCGAAATGCACATCGATTTGCACATCCAAATGCAAGTCGCAAGGCGCCGTTGGCGCCGCGGCGAGCTTTCCAATGCACGTCGACATGCAAATGGGAATGCACATCGATATGCAAATCCAAATGCAAATCAGAAGGGACATCGTCATGCCGTGCTGTATGCAGCGCCGCCGTTGTCGCTGTCGGGCCGCAGCCAGTTGCCCAAGCAAAGCAGGCATACCAGTCGCGGTTCCGCCTTGGAGCCCGTCCGAACCTTCGGCCGGTGCCGCCCCCGTGGCCGGTGCCGCCCGCATGCTCGAACATGCCCTGGCCGCGCCGCCGCTGTCCCATGGGCCAGGACTCGCCAGCCCCAGGTGCAGATGGATAATACCAGGGCTCGCGCAAAATGGCGCAGCGTTACGGGTACTCTGAGCAGTCCAGAGCGGGCATGGAGGGGCTCCATCCTCAGCGCCTGCTGACCCGGGAGGAGTTCAAGGCGAATTTGCCGCCAGCACCAGGGGTGTTGTGTGTGGCCAAAAGTTTTGTGGCCACTCGGGGCTCGGGGTGGTTTTAGTGCGAGTCTGGGGCACGGGGTCTGGGTCGGGGCGCGTTCAAACGGGGCCAGGGCATGGCGTTCAATGTGCGCCAGGCTTTGCCAGCGCCGAGGAGTTCATGCGGGGGGAGGGGGTTCCGGGGCGAGGGTGGCCGCGCGGGTGGCCCTCAGGTCGCGGACAAGAGCACCAAGACCTCGCGGGGCAATCGCGGCTCGCATTTCCTGGGGCAGAACCTGAACGCCCACCTGCGCCGCGAGCCCGACGTAGCTCTGGAGTTCGAGCTCACGCGGAACAAGCGCATGCAGGAGATGGAGGGTCGCCCTGTCATTGTGGTGGCCATGTTCAAGGACCCCCCCGCACGGCGTCGCGCGGCGGCGTGGCGCGTGCTCTTGCGCGCCGTCAAGGGCCGGCAGCTCCTCCCACAGCGCGCCCGACAATCTTGCAAGGGCTCCCTGACGAGACGCGGCCGGGAGGTCGACGTGCAGCCCGGGGGCCCGGAGGGGGCCCCACTCGGGTCAGGCGTTGCCAGTCCTGCGGGCGTGGGTGCCTCAATGAGTCAGGATTGCACGACCGGACCGCCGGCCGAGAAGGGTAAAGCGGCGGGCCTTGCAAACGGGCTAGGCCTTGCCAGCTCTTCGACGCTGGCGCCGAGTAGCGGGGCGACGTTCCCGTTTCCTTTCCAGAACGCCCCCGCGATGCCCGGGGACCAGGCGATCGCCCCTTCGGCCCTGCCGCCGTCGCCAGCGGCACCGCTGGGGGCGTCGAAAGCTTCCGGCGCCGCCGCGGGCGGAGGCCGCGGCGCGTTCTGGCGCCACGCAGGTCGATGCCTCGGCGGCAGGCAGCCAGGGCGCCTATGAGACTTTCCGCAACAAGGCGTACCACCTCATCGCAGTGGCCAGGGACACGGCGATCGACCCACGTGGGAATCCCAGCGCCGTCAGGAGATGCTGCCGCCCACGCGCAGGCGCCGCTAGCACCAAGCTTCGCTCGTGTCTCGAGCGCCGCATCGGGTGGCGCCGCGAGCAGTCACTGTGGCACAGCAGCGCGCACGCTCGACCACGTCGACTAGCGCCGAGGTGAGGTTCGCGCGATGGATAAGCGCACGCGGGGCCAGCGTTCCACGACTTTGTCGAGTGCGCTTCGCCAACATCGCAACATCACATCACCATCGCGCGCGCCATCACACTTCACTAGACTCCGCCCCGCAGGCATCGTCAGAACAACAATCACCTCTTTTGCCCATTGCTGCTCCCCCAACCTCCTTATCACCCGCAGGGTGGTCGTGTAGGTATAGATTGGTCTCGGGCTCTTGTCGCGCGCGTGGTTGCGGCGAAGCTGCGCGGGCGGGCGAGAGGAATGGCCCCGCTGTGGCCAGGGCAGGTCAAGACAAAGACCGTCCCTCCGGTGGGCTTGCGCGGCCCGGGTGTCCCACCGTGGTGTCCCGCCGTGGTGTCCCGTCGTTGTCCCGTCGGTGTCTGCGGGCGGTGGCCGAGGGTGTCCCGCCGCGGTGTCCCGTCGTGGTGTCCCTCCGTGGTGTCCCTCCGTGGTGTCCCGTCAGTGTCCCGTCGGTGTCCGCGGGCGGTGGCCGAGGGTGTCCCACCGTGGTGTCCCATCGGTGTCCCGTCAGTATCCCGCATGTGTCCCATCGCCCCGTCGGTGTCCCGTCCGTGTCCCGCCGGCGGTGTCGCGCCCGTGTCCCGCCGTTGGTGCCCCGACGGTGTCTGGTCGGCGCCCCGTCGGCGCCCCGAGTGGTGTCCCGATTGATGTCGCAAGTGGTGCATCGCCCTCACCACCGCATTTGCAACAACCACGATCACCACAATCATCATCGCACTCATCCCCACATTCGTCATCACCAGACTCATCATCACATTCTCCATCGCCACAGTTGTCGTCAAGGAGGTATTGGGCCACATAAATGCTTCTGTCGTCATCCCCATCAAGCTTTTTCGCCAGCATCGCCAGTTTGTTATCCATCCGCTCATTACCAAAATGCATTGGCGTCAGCATCGTCGTCTTACATCGCCGCCTGCTCGTGAGCGCATCACCAGCACCGCCACCATCGCAATCATCGTGGCGTCCCGCCGTGGTGTCCCGTCGGTGTCTGCGGGCGGTGGCCGAGGGTGTCCCGCCGTGGTGTCCCGTCAGTGTCCCGTCGTGGTGTCCCGTCGGTGCCCCGTCGGTGCCCCGTCGGTGTCCCGTCGGTGTCCCGTCGGTGCCCCGTCGGTGTCCCGTCGTCGTCCCGTCGGTGCCCCGTCGGTGTCCCGCCGTCGGTGCCCCGTCGGTGACCCGCCTTCGGTGTCCCGGCGTCGTTCGGTCGGTGTCCCGTCGCTGTCCCGATTTCTGTGCCCATTGGTGTCCCGTGGCTCGGCTGGCCAAGATCACTCGTCGGCCATTGTCCCGTTGGCTCGTCGCCAACTTGTTAGCACGTCACCATCACCGCCACCATCAAAATCACCTCAGTGGTCCTCAGTTGGTTCTTTCCCCCCCCAATCTCTTTCTCACCCGAAGGGTGGTCGTAAATGTCGGTATGTCGGAGGTTGGGGGTGCGAGATTGCAGTGAAATGGAGAGCCCCCCACCAGGATATCAGTTTCGAATCCGCGTCGTGCGTGCGGGCGAAGCGAAGCTGCGTGAGCGTGCGACAGGAACGATCCCGCCCTGGTTGGGGCGAAGCCGGGCTCAATGTCAATGTCTCGCATCACCCCGGTTGGCCGGCGGTGGCCCAGGGGTGTCCCAACGGTGACCCGTTGTGTCCCGTGGTGTCCCGTGGCGCAGTGCGGTGTCCCGTGGTGGCCTGTGGAGATCGATAGTGAGATCGATTGTGAGATCGTTTGGGTGAGACAGGCGGTGAGGAAGTAAGATAGTGAGATCGACGCGGTGTCCCGTGGTGTCCCTTGGCGCGGTGTCCCGCTGGTGGCTTGTAGAGGCCGGTAGTCAGATCGATTGTGAGACCGATACAGATCGATGAAGAGATCTAGTAAGGTCGATAGCCGGACCTACGTACAGTGAGGCCGATAGTGAGATCGACCGACAAATAGTGGACGGATGGACCACAATGGCGTCCCGATGGTGTTCCGATGGTGTCCAGATGTTTGCATTTATTTGTCTCCAGGGTGTCCCAATGGTGTCTCATCGCAGTTGTCATCAGTTAGTTTCCCCCTCAGCAGCCTCGTTGTCTCTCGAAGGGTGGTCGTATAGGTGTATGCAGTCCTAGGTCTGTTCGTCTGTTGTTTCTGTCTCTTCCTCTGGCTCTCTCTCTCTCTCTCTCTCTTTCACTCGCTTTCTTTGTGTATACATGCATTTTTAGGTGTACATTTATATACACATGCATACATACATACATACATACATACATGCATACATCCATACATGCATGCATGCATGCATGCATGCTTGCATGCACGCATAAATACATACATACATACATACATACACACACACATACATACATACATACATACATACATACATACATACATACATACATGCATGCATGCATGCATACATACACGCACACATACATACATACATACATACATACATACATACATACATACATACATACATACATACATACATACATACATACATACACACATACATACATACATACATACATACATACATACATACATACATACATACATACATACATACATACATACATACATACATATATGTATATACATACATACATATATGAATATATATATATATATATATATCTGTGTATACAGTTGTTCCTTTTTCTGCTGATCTGGCTTTGCAGGTCGGGGGTGGACCGCGGACCGCGCGGCACACAGGTGCCCCCCCCCCTCACCGACACGGCTTCGGGCATCCCCGGGCACCCCGGGCGCCCCCTGCAGAGCGTTCCCTCGAAGTTCGGGCCTCAGGGGCCGCCACGAGGGCGCGAAGTGACTCGCGGCTTCCGGCTCGCGATTCGCGATTCCTCATCCTCGTCGATTTGGATCCGTCACATGCTGCGAATCGGAGGAGGCGCAGGAGGAGGAGGATACAAAGAGGAGAAAGAGGAGGGGATCCGGTGGGGAGGGGGGAACTTCGCACCACGTGACGAAATCCCTCTGCCTATCATCCTCGTCTTCGTCCCCCTGCTCCCCCGGGAGGCGGCGGGAGAGCGCGGAGTGATTCGCGTTTCGCGCAGCGCGAAGCGCGAACAGAGCTGCCCCTGTTCCAGATCTCCTGGACGTCCGTGCTAAGTCTCTTTCGATGCTCCTTGCTTGTGCGTGTCGCCCAAAGCAGGAATTACGTGCCTGGCTCTCTGGATGGCTGCCCTTGCTCTCCTGCTGCCCTCCTGCAGAGCTGTCGCGCCCCTGTTGCCGCAGCTGCCGCTTCCTCGGAAGAAGTGCATCCAGGAGGGGGAGGCGGCAAACGGTGCGAGAGGGCGGCCTAATGGTGCGACTTTTGGAGCATGCGCACGGTGATCCTGCAGTTCGGTGGAAAAGCTGGAAGCGCGATGCGTAAGTTGCGGGAATTGCTCGCCCTTGTTCCCGCTACCCACTTCGCCGCCACCCCTCACCCCCCGGGAGCGCTCACGAGGAGAGCTTGTACATGCAGGACAAAGGCCTCGGCGCCATGACTGTGCCATGGAAAATCGAGCAGCAGGACCACCATCTCCTTGTGCTTGCAGAAGTTCCCCTGGCCCGAGGTGCTCCTAAGTTTTCCGCCCTTCTTTGGAGTCTTGGTGAGCCCTGTGGCCGAGTAGAGGGGCTTTAGTATCTTGGAAGCTATAACAGCTATGGGGGCCTCCATGGCAAACTTGAAGTCACCTCGGGCCCTGGAGGAAGGAGTGGAGTTGTGAGGGGGGAGAGAGAGAACGGACGGATGGGGGAATTAGAGATGTGGGGGAAGGAGGGGGAGGACGAGGTGGAGGAGGTGGATCCTGGACCCCCTGGAAGGCCCCCCGCCCCAAGCGAAACGATTAGCAAGCCGAAAAAACGCATCCCTCCTCCCGCTTCTTCTTCCGCCGAGGAGTGGGAGAAGGAGGAAGAGAAGGATGAGGAAGAGGAAGAGTTAGTTTCCCCCGCCACCCTGGGGTATCGAGGGGCCCAGTCCTTTTGACGAACCGATGACGAGCATCGATGCCGCAGCATCGAGCATCGATGAGGAAGGAGGAGGAGGAGAAGGGAGAGGAGACCATGACGGCGCGAGGACGACGATGATGATGCCGAATACGACGATGGGAGCGGAGCGGGGTCGACAATTTCGAAAACAGCCCCGAAGCAGCCCCCAGCCCCCAAGGCCAGACATCGCGAGAGCGACGACGACAGCAACAACAAGAATCATGTTACTACTGTTCACTCTTATGCGATCTCGTGCCATTCATCATTCATCACTTTTATCAGGAGGGGGGCTGAAGCAGAACGCACATGGCAGAAACCGGGCGGGCAAATCGAGCGGGTAGACCCAAACGGGCGGGTCGGGAAGGCGGGCCCAAGCGGCCAGGTCGAGCAGGCGGGTTGCTGAAGCGTGAGCGCTACATGAATCGCGAGGAGATCTCGAACGACAGCGCGGTTCTCAAGTAAATCGTGAGAGAGGCCGCAGCGAGAGCGTGATTCCTGGGTGTCGAGGTAGCGACGTCTGAAGAAATTGCGAGGACATCCCACTCGAAAGCGCAATTCCTGTGTAAATAGTGAAGATTTCCCGCGCGAGAGCACGATTTTTGAATACATATTGAGGAAGTATCAGGTGGGAACCGTTGTTGTTGTTGAAGTTGTAGCTCGGGGAACCCAGTTTGGTGACACCAAGCTTTCCCTGATAAAGAGCAAAGTGCGAGCCCCGACGGGGGGCACTACAATTGAAGAAATATACTGGTTACCGGAGGGGGGGATCAATGACCGTCCGTCTCCTTTTCTGCCCAGGGGGCACGTACCCCCAAGGGGGTACGACTGAAGACGAAGAGGGCGGGTACCGAGGGTTCGCGATATACGTGTTAACTGGCACGCGAGCGGATAAGAGCAAGCAGCTTGACCATGATTGTCGAATTCTCATTTCTAAAAGATAATTGTTGTTGATCCCCCCTCTGAAGGAACCATTCTGCGTTTTTCCGATTAAAGTGATTTTCCCCGGACTCGCACCGTGTTTTTTTACAGCGGAAAGCTAGGTTTCAACAAATTGCACCCCCGGCCTCCGGTTTACAACAACAGCGGCTCCCGCCTGATGTTCCCTCACAATGTATTCCACATGTTCCTCTCAATGTGTGCAGAAATGGCGCTCTCGCGTGGGACGTCAGATCAATAGATTCAGACGCAGCGCCCTCGGCATTCAGGAATCACGCTTTCGCTGTGGCTTCTTTCGCAATTTACTTGGCAATCGCGCTGTCGATCGAGACTTCCTTGCGGTTCATGCAGGACGCACTCTTAAGCAACCCGCCTGCTCGACCTGGCCGCCTGGGCCCGCCTTCCCAAACCCGTCTGGTTCTGCCACGTGTTCTCTTCTCCTATCCCCCCCGCCTGCTACTCTCTCTCGTGTTCCATCCGTTCTCGCTACCCATTTCTCCTTCCTGTCATCCTCCTCCCTCCTCCTTGTCCCTTCCTTCCATCCGTCTTCCCTTCCCCTGCCTTAGGGACTGCACGAAATACAGGTTGCAGGTAAGTAAGAAATATCTCCAACGGGGCACGATCGAAGACCTAGAGGGCGGGTATCGAGGGTTTGGAATATACGTGCCGAATGGCCCGCGAGCAGAGCAAAGCGAACAGTCCTAAAAGCATATTTGTTGTTGGTGGTGGTGTTGCTGTCGGTGCTGTTGTTGTGGCTCTTGGTGTGGGGCTCTCATTTTGAAAGAAGAATTATGATTGACCCCCGTGCCCGGTGACCCCCTCCTCCCGGGATTCGGTCCTTGTTTTTTGTTGCCAAGGGCAAGTGAGGGGCAACCAAGTTGGGCCTCTGCCCCCCGGTTTACAACAACAACAACAACAGCGGTTCCCGCCTGATGTGTCTTACCAATGTTTGAATAAGCCCGCTCTTGCGCGGGACTTCCTCACAATGTATGCAGCAATCGCGCTTTCGCGTGGGTCATACTTCCAACGTGTTCAAACGCCGCGCCCTCGACGCGTAGGAATCGAGCTTTCGCTCTGGTCTTTCTCGCGATGAATTTGGGAATCGCGCTAGCGCTCCAAATCTCCTCGCGATTCATGCAGTACGCACGCTTCAGCAACCCACCACCTGCTCGACCTGGCCGCTTGTGTCCGCCTTCCGACCCGTCCGCTAGGGTCTACCCGCCAGACCAGGCCAGCTGGTTCTTCCATGTGTTTTCTGCTCCTATCCCCCCTCCTCTCCTACTGATCCCGTGCTCCATCCTTTTCCCTTTCCCTTCCATCCATCCATCCGTTCTTCCCTTGTTTGTTGGGCTGCACCAGTTGCGCGCGGCAGGTAAGGAAGATATTGTAGTGGCCTCCTGCCAGTGCCGCCGATCCGGGGCGCTCCGGGTGCTTGTGGAAATGAACGACGACGAGGAAGACGAAAACGACGACGAAAACGAATACGTCGACGACGACGACGACGAGAGCGACGACGACCACGACCACGATGACGACGACGACGACGACGGCGACACCAGTTGCGCGCGGCAGGTAAGGAAGATATACCCCCAGGGGGGGTACGGTCGAAGACGAATAGGGCGGGTATCGCGGGTTGGGGCGATACGTGCTGACTGGAACGCGAGCAGGTCAGAGCGAACAGCCTTAGCACGTTTGTTCAGGTTTTTGTGTTTATTTCTGTTGAACCTTAATTTCTGAAGAATAATTACTGCTGATCCCCCCTCACCGGTGCATATTGTTTTTTGACAGGGAAAGTCTTGGTGCTCAAACTGTGCGCCTGGCCCCCCGGATTACAACAACAACAACAACAACAACAACGGCTCCCGCCAGAGACGTCCTCCAAATTTACTCAGGACCCCCCCCTCCCGACTGAGACTTCTTCATAATTTGCTCAGGAACGGCGCTCCCGCTTGAGATTTCCTTACAATTTAGTTCGGGTCAAACTGGGTTGCTGCTCCCCCGGACTACAACAACAACGGTTCCCGCCTGAGACTTCTCTCCTCCAATTTTACTCAGGACCCCCGCTCCCGCCTGAGACTTCCTCCCAATTTACTCAGGATCGGCGCTCCCGCCTGTGACTTCCTTGCAATTCAGTCAGGACCCCCCCTCCTGTCTGAGGCTTCCTTACAATTTATTCAAGAATGGCGCTCCCGCTTAGGATTTCCTTGTGCTTTAGTCTAGCCCCGCTCCCGCCAGACAGACCCTTTTCAGGAATTGTTCTCTCGCCTGTGACTTTTTCGCAGTTTATTCAGAAATCGCGCTATCTACGCTCAGGCACCACGTTCGCGCCAAGGCCGCTGTCACACTTTACTTAGGAATCGCGCTCTCGCCCTGATCAGGCACCCCGCCTGAATGTCCCACCCGCCCGGCCCGCCCGTCAGAGGATCGCCCGCCCGTCGTGGGCTGCCGCCCGAGACTTCCTTGTGGAATGGCGCTTTCGCCTCGGACTTCTTCGAACGTTCGCACTCTTTCCTTCCTGCTCCTCCCTCCTCCCGGGCCGCCTCCCCCCTCCTGAATGAGTTCTGTTGGTCCCCCTCACGGGTGCGCATTGTTTTTTCTCAGTCAAAGTGCGCCCCTCGACGCTCGCACCTTGTTTATTTGACAGGGAAAGTCATCCGGGCCAAACTGTGCCACTGGGCCTCCAGCTACAACAACAACAACGGCTCCAGCTTCAGACGCGCCCAGTGAGACCCAGCCACGCTGCCCACAGAGGCCCCTGCCGCAGCCCACAGGCCCCGAACGCGCCCACAGAGGTCCCGCCCAGGGCCTCTCCAATTACACGTGGCCAAGAAGGAAATAACCCCCAAAAGGGGGTACGATCGAAGACGAAGAGGGTGGGTATCCAGGGTTTGGGATGTGCAGAGTGAATGACACGCGGGCCGGTAGGAGCGAACAGTTTTGGAGTGATTGTTGATGTTGTTGTTGATGTTGTTGTTGTTGTTGTTGTTGTTGTTGTTGTTGTTGTTGTTGTTGTTGTTGTTGTTGTTGTTGTTGTCGTCGTTGTTGTTGTTGTTGTTGTTGTTGTTGTTGTTGTAAAACGGGGGTCGGCAACAAAATCTGAGGCGCAAGGCTTTCCCTGGTAAGGAAACAGAATGCGAATCTTGTGAGGGGCACTTCAATTGAAAAACACCAGGTGCACGTGAGGGGAATCAACACTAGCTAATGCTTAGGAGTTGGGAATTCAAAGACACGTTTTTCAAGCTTGCTCGTTCTTATCCGCTCGCGTGCCATTCAACATGCATATATCAAGCCCTTGACACCCGCCCTTTCCGACCGGGATGTGTATCTTCAATTTTTGCCACGTGTAGCCGACGCAGTCCATAAAAGCAGGGGAAGGGAGGAGGGAAGGGATACCGTGAAGAGAGAATAATCAAGACAGAGGTTCGCAGGAGAGAGGGTTAGGAGCAGGAGAGCAAGAGGCAGAACCAGATTTGGCGGGTCGGGGGGGCGGACCGTAGCGGGCGGGTCGGGCGATCGGGCCCGACGGCCGGGTCGGGCGCGCGGGTGGTTGAAGCGTCGGTCCTGCGTGGATCGCGAGGAGGTCCACAGCGATAGCGCGATTGACAAGTGGATCGTCAGGACGTCCACACCGAGAGTGTGATTTCTGAGTGTCGAGGGCGCGGCGTTTCAATGCATTGCGTGGAAATGCCCAGCGAGGCGCGTTTCTTGCAGAACTAGTGAGGGAGTCCCGCGCGAGAGCGCGATTTTAAATGTTAGGAAGCGTCAGGCTGGAGCCGTTGTTGTTGTTGTTGTAAACTGGCGACAAGCAACACAAATGAGGCACCTGATTTTTCCTGGTCAAAAACAGGGTGCGAGCCTAGGGAGGGGCACTTCAATTGACACAAACACCAGGAACCCCGGAGGGGGGGATCAACGGTCATTATTGTTACGGTATGAAACTTCAATCAATTCAAACGTGTTCGCTCTGATTTGCTCGCGTGCCATCCATCATGTCTAACCCAAACCCTCGATACCCGATTTCTTCTTCTTCTTCGATCGTACTTTCTTCGGGTGTGTATCTTCAATACCTCCAGCGTGTAGTTGGCGCAGCCCCAGACACAGGGAAAGCGAGGGAGGGAGGAAAGGATGGAGCACGAGAGAGATTAGCAGGAGGCAGGAGCAGGAAATCAGACGGCAGAACCAAACGGAGCGGGTCGGGGGGGCGGATCTTAACGGGCTGGTCGGGCGGGCGGGCCCTGACGGCCGGGACAAGCGTGCGGGTCGCTGAAGCGTCGGTCCTGCATGGATCGCAAGGAGGTCCCCAGCGATAGCGCGATTCCCCAATACATTGTGAGGACGTCCAGAAGGAGAGCGTGGTTTCTGAGTGTCGAGGGCGCGGCGGTTTAATTAATTGCGAAGAAGTCCCACGCGAGAGCTCGGTTTCTGGATAAATCGTGAGTGAGTCTGGCGCGAGAGCGCGATTTTGAATAAATTGTGAGGGAGTGTCAGGCGGGAGCCGCTGTTGTTGAAAACTGAGTGCCGGCGGCCGAGTCTGAGGGGCAAGAACTTCCGTTGTAAACAATAGGGTGCGAGCCCCGGGCGGGGCACATGAATTGTAGAAGCACATTGTATTGTAGAATGGAGAATTCGACGACAACGACGACGACGGTGACGACGACGACAACGACGACGACGACGACATGATGGCGGCGGCGGCGGCGGCGACGTTGACGAAGACGGCTAGGGACTACGGACTAGGATTATGACGAGGAGGAGTAGGAGGAGAAGGAGGACGCCGCGACGAAGACAAAGACGACGACGTCGACGACGAGGACGACGACGACGTCTACGACGAGGGCTACGAGTTGTATCTCGGTTGGTGGGGTGACTCGATTTCGAGCTACCCACAAGCTGCAGGGCGCTATCATTTTCTTCCGCTGGCGAGGTGGCACCACAGTTGCGTCACATTACCAACAAGAATGAGACACATCAGTTGCACTCCAGCCTTGAGGAAAGCGAGGTGACAGCACCGTCCCGATGCGCTAAGCCGTCTTACGCTTAGGCGAATTGGGCGTATCCGACGGGTCGACTAGATGGGGGCAGTCACATGCAGAGACAACGCAGAAGCGGATGCAAAGGGGAAAAGGCCGAAGTGATCAGGCAATGCAATGAAATCCAAGAGAAACGGAGCACGGCGACCCCGCTCGATCACGCGCACACACACACACACACACACTCACACACACGCACCCACACACACACACTTTTTCTGCGCCGGCGGCTAGGCAGAGTAACTGCGCTGGCGGAAGAGCTAAATGGGGGCACCGTTGTAGCGAATTGCGCCCCAATGCAAGAGTGAAAAACGGGGAAGGCGGGCGGCCGAAATGGGGAGGGAACCAGGCGAGGACCGCTCAGGGGGACGGGTCACGCCCGGAGCGAGTGGCGCGGCCGGCCACACACATTATCACACACGCACATGCACGCACGCACGCACGCACGCACGCACACACAGATGCGCACACCCACACAAACACGCACACACACACACGCACACACACACACTTCCATGTTTTTGCGTTGCAGCCGTGCTTGCGGCGTCACGGCGGAGCTGGCCCGAAAGAGCAGGGCCAGCAAAGAAGCGCATTGGGCCCTCATGCAGCAGCCCAGACGGGGTAGGGCTCACTCACAGAGAGCCACGCTGAGCGGAGACTCGCAGAGCTCTCCAGCACAGGTTTTGGTGTCAGGGCCGCGCGCAGCGACGCAGCGGAGTCAGACAGCTAAGAGTCCATGTAGCTTTCGACAACACACGTTGTATTCATACGGTAGTCTCGCGTTGTGTCGACACGGCCTTAACCCTGGCGCGGGCGTTCAAGATTCACTGCCCCTTGTGGCGATTGAAAAGCAGCCGAGCGTTGAAATTTAAACGATCCATGCGGTGTCAGAACCACCACTGGGGTCGTCACGATACGGGCCTGTCGTAGTTGTGATGCGCATCTTTCTGCAGTAACCAGAAGTCGCCGATGTCGATATACAATTGTCTCGATTACTCGGGCGCCCTTGGCTTGGCGGAGCCTGCAGGAACCTTGGGTGCGGGAGGCGCTGCTGTCAGAGCTGCACGAGCTGCGGCAGTCCAACGCCCTCCTGGCGCGGCAGAATTCCTGGCCGCGCTCCCCGAGGGGGGAGGGTCTGAGATCCTCGCGTCGTGAAGACTTCGCGTCTCGAGGTTCTTAACAGTTCGGCCTCCTGAGCCCTTGCGGGGCCCCAGGACCGTCAGAAAACAGCCGAGGATGAACAACAACTATCCTCCAGGGATGGGTCCGACCTTTGGGGGAGCCACGCCGTGAAAAATCACGACGCCGGATGTCCAGGGAGGTCTGGTCCCCAAGGATCGAGGTTCGAGGATCGAGTGTCTTCAACCCTCGATGACGGGGGATGATCGGGGATTGAAGATCAAGGAAATGAGGGGGGAGAATCGACCTATCAAGCCTAAGATCCAGGGAAGTAGCGTGTTCTACCGCTGCTGGCAGAAAACCGGGGTGGGCCACTGGGGGTTCCCAACCCGTCCCCCCCCCTCGAAAACCAGGGGGTGTCACTCCCGCTTCGAACCCCCACCCTCCAAACTATCACGAAACGGTGGGGGTCTTTACCAGTTCGAGCCCCCCCCCGCCCCCCCTCGCCGCCGGCAAACGATTCCCGCTCCTCGGGACAGTTGGACAGTGGTGTGGATACAGGGACAGTGGTGGGGACAGTGGTGGGGCAGTAGTGCGGACGGTGGTGGTGGGGACAGTGGTGAGAGGACAGCGGGACAGTGGTGGGGACAGTGGGACAGCGGTGGGGAAGGACAGTGGTGGGGACCGTGGGGAAAGTGGGGAAAGTGGGACCGTGGTGGGAAAGTGGGGACAGTGGGGACAGTGCGACAGTGGTGGGGGCACTGGTGGGGACAGTGGGGACGGTGGTGGGAACAGTGGGGACAGTGGTGCTGGGGACTGACAGCGGTGCTGGGGACAGCAGTGGGGGATGTGGTGCGGACGGTGGTGGGGACGGTTGCGCGGACGGTGGTGGTGCGGACAGTGGTGGGGACCCCCCCTCGGTTTTTCTGGAGGGGGGGGGTTCGAACCGGTAATGACCCCCCCGAGGTTTTCTGGAGGAGTTGGAGGGGGGGTCGAACCGGTAGTGACCCCCCCAGGTTTTCTGGAGGGGGGGGAGGAGTTCGAACCGGTAGTGACCCCGCCCAGTTTTCTGGAGGGGGCGGGGGTGTCGAACCGGTAGTGATCCCCCCCGGTTTTCTGGAGAGGGGGGGGGTCGAACCGGTAGTGACCCCCACCGCGTTTTCTGGAGGGGAGGGCTTGAACCGGTAGTGATCGCCCCGGGTTTTCCGGAGCTAGTGGGGGGGGATCCCCCTCGTTTTCCAGAGGGAGGGAGGTTCGAACCGGTAGTGACCCCCCCCCGTTTTCCAGAGGGAGGGGGGGGGTCGAACCGGTGATCCCCCCCTGGTTTTCTGGAGGGGGGGGGGGTAGGGGGGGGGTTGCCGGGGAGAGGGGGGGGAGGGGGTTCCAGCAGGGGGGGGATTTTCGAAGGGGAGGGGGACCCCCGGGTTCGGAGGAAGAGGGGGGGGGGAATTTTCCAGAGTAAAGCGGCAGTGGATCACGCTCTAGCCAAGCCAGGCGACGCCAAATAACCGTGAGGGCAGATTTTCGTTTATTTACGTTGTCGGCATTTGGAGGGCGCATCCTGGCTCTATGGCCTTCAAAATTCTGGATGAAAAGCCGGCCCCGGAGAATGGGTTCAGATTCGCGTCGTCTGGCGTCACGAACAAAACAATCTTACGTCGGAGGAGAGGGGATCATCGAGGGTCGAGGATCGAGCTTCCAGCCTTCCAGTATGCTCCCAAAGCAGTGCTTGCGCTTAGGGGTTCGCATGTGCTTTCTAAGGGACGGGGCCTGTGCGTCGGTTTGGCGGCTATGTTGGCGCCGTCGCCGTCCCATCGCAGCCTCGTCGCCGCCCGACGTCTGGGGTCGTGCGTCGATCTATCAGCTATGTTGCCGCTGTCGCGCGTCCTCGACGCCCGAGGTCTTGGCCTTTGCGGCGGTTTTGCGGCTATGTTGCCGCCGTCTCAGCCCTATCGCCGCCTCGTCGCCGCCCGACGCCAGGGGCGGTGCGTCGGTCTGGCGGCTATGTTGCCGCCGTCGCCGCCTCGTCGCCGCCCGACGTCGATTTTCTGTTCTAGTAAAATATGTGGATCTACCCCCCCCTCCCCCGGACTTAACACATCACCTCTTTCGTATTGCAAGTTACATACAGTACGATTTTGCCCCATCGTCCGAAACATTAGGTCATACCATCCCAGGCAGGCCCTTATAGCCCCCCCATCCTCTGCAACAAAGACCTTGCGCGCACATTTGTTTATCAACAATCAGCAGTTGTCGAAAATCCGCTGTGCAAAACGGGACGAAGCGCGCACGCGCGCCACGTCGCGTGCGCATGCCGAACTCCGCCAAACACTTTTTCAAAAGCGAGCGTCCTGGAATAATGCAACAGCATGGTTTCGCAACAGGCATTAGCACAACATACAAAGCGTGCACTCGCTCTCTTGCGAATACTGAGAAACAACCCTTCGATTTTAAAGATGCGCATGACATGTCAGCAAACGTGCCTGTCGCCCGCTCGTGTCGAAATCATTCGGAAACCCTTGCGCGCGTGCTTGGGGGGCGCGGCCCGTGTCAAATATCAACATGCGGGCAATTCTCGCGCGCCAGCCGCGCTCGCATGTCAAATTCCTCCCGCAACCTTTATCACCGACGCGATGACGCCGTCATCGTCGTCGGCGTGATCCGCATCGGCGCCTTCACTAGCCTTGCCGTCGTTATCGTCATCATTGCCACCAGCATCGCTAGTATCATCATCGTGTCTACCGTTGTCGACATTGCCATGATACCGCGCCCGCCCAAGTCGCCGACTCGCATTGAAGTGCCCGTTGGGAAGTGCCCAGCGGTCAGCGTCACCGCGGCCGCGTCGGTCACGCCAATCTAGTTGGCCGTTGCGAGCGCAAGCACGCGCGGGCTAGCGCGGCCACCGAGATGCACCAGCCAGCTCCAAGCACTCCTCGCAACCAAGGCCGCATGGGTTTTGCAAAACCAAGTTGCGGGTGGGTTGGTGGGATGATTGCGCGAGCGGTGGAGTGGACAACTCATTGCGAACATAAAGTAACGGCGCCGCACTGATTGCACCACGTGCGTTGAACAACATAAGTTGCACCACGCGCGTTTTACAACATTCTTTCGCAAAAGAATATTTCGGTCTCCCCCCCTCTCCCCCCGCCCGGAGTTAACGGCCCCGCTGTTCGTATTGCAATTGACATACGATTCTGCCCCATCGTTCATCCTAAACATGCATTCGTATCATCCCAGGCAGGCCAGTATCCGCCCCCATCCGCCATTTTCTTCAACAAACTATTCGCGAACTCGTTGGTTACATATCATAAGGTTTTCCCAACACCGTGCAACAAATATACGATATGCACGCGCGCGCATCGTCGCGCGCGCATGACGGAATCTCTCCAAAGCGTGAGGCCCCAGATTTCAAAACCGAGCGCCCCGAAAACGCATTACGCCACATGGTTTTGCACCAGGACGTCTAACAGCTGGCGCTCGGGCTCTGGTGCATTTTTAAGGAAGCCATGTTTTTCTTACAACATGTTCATAATTTGATACCAAACGGGCCTCTGACGCGCGCTTGTCGGAAACGCTCGAACACCGTTGCGCGCGTGCTGTCGCAAGAATTCCTTGCAACATGCATGGCGAAGTGCACGCGCGCGGCGCACGCGGAAATATTTCAAACACCGCTGGCTGTTTAAAGGATTTCAAAATCGAATGCCCCGAACACATTAGACTAGCTGTTGTGCAGTTATCAGTTTTTGAATATTGCTTGCGTTCGCACTCACGCAAATTCTTACGATGACCACGTACTTTTAAACGTTTTCATGACATTCTGCCAAGCGGGCCCATCGCGCCCCGCGTCAATCATTCGAGCGCCACTGCGCACGTGCTGGGGGGTGGGTGGGCGATCCGTGTCAAGTGATGCAAGCGGGCCGTTCGCGCGCGTCGGCCGCGCGCGCATATCGAAATTCCAAAAACTGAATCGGCGGGGCGAGGGCGCCGTCATTGTCGCCGGCACAACTCGCATCGGCGCCGTCGCTGGCCTTGGCGTCGTCGTTGTCATCATTGTCGCCAGAATCGCTATACTTCATCGTGTGTACCGTTGTCGACGTTGTCATGTTACCGCGCCCGCCCAAGTCGCGACTCGCACCGTGGGAAGCAACCGGCGGTCATCGCCGATGAGGCCGTGGCGGCAGCGCCGGACCATCGGGCCGCTTCGCGCGCGGGCATGCGCAAGCTTCAGCGGCCGCAGGGATGCGCCAGCCAAGTCCAGGCACTCATCGCAATCGCCACCACATGGGTTTTGCAATCCAACTTGCGGGCGGGCAGGTGGGATGCTTGCGCGAGCGATGGAGTGGGCAATTCATTGCGAACAGGAGTCCGTTGCACCACGGAGATTCTACCACATTGATTCTTCTGTTCTACAAAACCACTCGGATCGACCCCCCCGGATGATCTGCATCCCCTGGTGGTATGTTTTGTGCATGCGATTGTGTTTCAGAGGCACCTTTGAATATGAACGCGCCCCATCCCAGCCCAGCTGGAATCAGCGCCCCCTCGTCCCTTGCCTCATAAAGTACGCGCGCACTCGTTCATCAAGAACCGCATGTCAATAATCCCTGGAACAAATCGGGGCAACGCGCGCGCGCGTCGGGCGCGCATGCAGGAATTCATCAAACACTTGTGAAGTTCTACAAGGAATTCAAACTTGAGTGTCCGGAAAACATGTACAGACATATGGTTTGGCACAGGATTTTGTCAATCTAAAAAGGCATGCGCGTGCGCCCCTGCAAATTCTTAGGACAACCATTCATTGTGCAACGTATTCATCACATGCGACCTAACGGCCCCCTCGCGCGCGCACTGCGGAATCATTTGGAAGCCCTTACGCCCGCGTCGGGGGGGGGGAGCAGCCCCTGTCAAGCAGTGCAATGTGGGCCACTCGCACGCGCCGGCCGCGCGCGCATGCCGAAACTCTTTCCAAATCCTGCATCGCCGATGCGTGG